AAAAAAAAAAAAAAAAAAGGCATTATTCTTTCCTGGGATATTTCATGCCTGCCTAGCTTGATGCCATTTGAGCATTTAGTACTACACCCTACAATTAGAAATTACACACACATACTTTAGTTAGTCTCATGTTTAAACAAAGTATCTTTATGTGAAGCTATAGAACAGTTCACAGCAGGGAAAGAGAAGCCAGTAGTCAGAAAAAAAAACCATTTATACCCTAAAGCCTGTGGGGCCTTTAGGACCATATAACATATATCTGTTCTCCAAATTTAATGGCCGTTCACATCTGAAACGTTCTGATGCTGCAGAGTTTACCATCACCTGCGATAGAAATAGCAAGCACGTGTGAGCCAAGAACCAAAGATGAAGCAAAGGGGAAGATTATGCAAGCGTCACCTGAAATCCAGTGCTGGGCTGTGTATTTGCCATCAGTTCATAGGCAATTTCTGCTCTTAGGCTGATTTTGGTGCTGTTGCACTAGAGGTTATACAGAGTAAATTCTGCAGTTCTTTATAGTACTGTAAACCTAATGCTGTTCAGTGGAAAAAACAATGGCTTTACCACAGCAGAGTATATCATGCCAAGGATTTGTAAAAAGACAGTATCAGTATGCTGCTTTATTTTTGTTTCCAGTAGTTTTTCTTCGTTTTAAGCAAAGGGAATTTTTAAATGCTTGAGCAGGCATGGAGCATAAAATACTGTCATGCTGAAATCAATGGGCCTTTTGACAATGCCAGGATTTCAATGAGGGCCTTCATGGGAGCATGCCACAAGGAGCAGCTGTTTCTTGGATGCATCCCAAAAGCTCCCCAGATATCTGATCTCATACAACTACCCCTATGGGTTCCCAACAGAAAATGCAACGTTCAGCAGAAAAGAGTTTGCTCTCCTCCCTGGTTCTCTCCACCCTGCGTTTTTGGTATTCCTGAGAAATTCCCTTCTGTCCTCCTTCAGTTTTATTGCTCTCTGTGCCTTCCAGATAATGCCAGAAATGACTTTTGAAAACTGACACTGATTTTTATGTTGTTATTTCAGCCATTGCTTTGGTGTTCCTGCTGCTGTTAACTGTGATGGAAAGGTCTGACCCTTCAACCCAGGTCTTGAAGGATAAAGGTAACGGTTACTTTCAGTGTGTGTCTTTCAAAAAAAAAAAAAGTCTGATTTTCATTTGTATGCACATGGTTTTATGGACAGTTTAAGGGTATTCATATTAGATTATCTCAATGCAGTCAAGATTTTTGTCTTTTAGATGTGATTTTGGAACGAATGATGGCTACTCATGCACAGTGTTGTTCTGTCGGTGCGAGCCTACATCTTTTCCATTGTCTGATGCTTTGCAGTTAAAATTTAGGATTCTGCTGCATTGTAATCCTGAACCATAAGAAGCAGTGCCTCAGATCAGGCTGTTGTGTATCTTTCAGCAAATTCCAGGTTTTACGAAAGCTGTGCCCACTGAGTCACCAAGGTTGTGAATCCCGTATTGCAGGCTTCCTTCAGAAGCAGACATTCCAAGTGGGTTACTTGGGGAGAGACTATTTTGATGTAAAATTTAACTAAAACTTGGATAATGCATGTTGGATTGAAAACAGCAGTGACTGGGAGTAGACAGCTTCAGCAGGGAGCAACAGACACCTCTTAATGTATCAAGAGACAGAGAAAAATTATTTACTCAGGCTGAATTTTTTACCCACTGTGGCACTGGTGAAAGCATACCCATGCTGACAAAGCCATAGTGGAGTGATTTACAGCGCAGTACTTCCATGAGGAGACCTCAAAAGTGGAGTCCACCACAACCCAAGTATCAGCCAAACCAGTCAACTGGCAGTAACACCAGCTGGGGTGGAAACTTATGTAGATAAAGTACTATGGCTGGCAAAGAATTGGGAACCAAATAAAATATTAGGTGAAAGAGGAGCATCCTGGGAATAAAATTGTTTGAAAGAGCCCTTGTTGGCAAACACAGACCAAGGACAAATGCCAAGCAGGCTCAGTTGAATAAGCTTTAAACCTTTTATAGAAAGCTGAAGCACAAAAGCTTAGCCTAATCCAACCTATTTCTATGAGTGTTTTCTGAACTTAATTACAAATTTAAAGTGCTTCCAAATGTGTGGAGTGTTTCTGTTTGCATAGCTTGTCTGCTGGCCTGGGTTCTCAGCAGTGCAAAAGAAGTTGCCTGAGCAAACATGGCTCACCTTGAGGTGCATGTGTGCATGGTCTTAACTGACTCTGGGGCCTGGAAAGTCTACTTAAAGCAATTGTAAATGAAGGGTTCGGCTCTTACCCTTGCTGTCTCTGGGTTAGGCTTTTGTTGGTTGGGTTATTTTTTGCTCTTGTTTCTTGGTGTTGCTAGTCTTATGACCTCCTGCGCTTACGTAAAGCGCTTCAGTAGTCTCTAAAGTCAATACTTGGGAACACTGATAGCACAGGTTATCGTCAAGGAATGAAGGCCACACTGACAGTGAGAACTTGCACACGGGGCTGCTGTGTCGTACCTCAAAGAGCCTGGCCACGTGGGTTTAAGCCCATCACTGAGTTGCCAGGAACTTATTGACTTACCTCTTGGTAGCGGGGGCATCTAAGAACAGAATCAGCAGCCGTCCACCAAAACCAGACCTGTGGAGCTAGGGGCCTTGCTGGAGCCTCTCAAGGAACTGCAAGTGAAGAAAGGAGCAGCTTGTGGAGCTCAGCACGCTTGAGCTTGAGAAAAGCAGCTGGGCTCTACGGCAGCTATTTGCTTCCTAGCTATTTGCTAGAGGCAGGATGGCTTGTGATTACAGAACGAAGCTACTGTGAGGGAAGGGGTTCAAGACTCTGCATTCGAAATTCAGGTGTCTAAAGTCATGGTAGCATAAATGAGCCCCATGAGGCTCAAACCTACCATGCCCAGCATAATAGTGACAAAAAGCAGAGATACAGTATAAGCATCTGGCCTGTTTCCCAAGAAAGTTAACGGTAAGCATCATCGTTATTTACAACAGGCAGAAACTATCAGGATGATAGCTAAAATACTTACAGGATAGAAGTGATAGAAATGTTTTTGCATGCAAAGCCCTCGCGAACAGCAGTGTGGGTTTTCACTCTGGATGACTGCAGGATTTGGTATAATCTGCTAGCTGGTGATTTTTTCCATGAAAGAGGAAAGATGATGTGAAAGGAGCTGGTAACATGAAAGACCCTTTCTTTTTGTGATCTCACCTCGATTTAACAACTCAGACCCAGTCAGGTTGGATTTATACCAGCCACGTGCAAGGTTCAGCCCTGCTGTAACCTAGCTACTGGATTCACACAAAATATTCTTTGATGAAAAAGAAAGGCTTAAAATTTTACACAGCCAGCCCTGTAGGATGAAGTCTATTTGGATTTTCCTCAAATGCATCTGGCATTTCATTTGAGAACAGATTTTGTGTTTCGTTTCCCCAGCTTGACACTGCCAAGGTTTCTTGCCATACAACTATATTGCATTTCATATACTACTGATATCACATATAACGCACATATGCGGGAACCTGCCTCTTTTTTCCAGCTTCTCCTCGGTGACAATCCGCGCGGTGAGCGCCTGTGCGGGTTTGCGAACTGCCTCTGCCCCGCGTCTGGTGCGAAAATCAAGAGCATCCGCAAAGCGGCCCTTTCTAGGGGGGAACCAGAAACGCGGAGCAACCCCAGGTTTGGGGGGGTGCTCTGTTAAGGAGGGAAAGGTGTCCGCGTGTGCCTCCCATCCCGCCCCCCTCCGAGGGGGGGATGCCCGGGGGCGGTGCCCGCCGGGGCCCGGTGCCCGGGGCAGGGGGCGGCCCGTC